ATTTCTTGAGGCTACTAATAAATAAAAGACCGATCACTATTCGTAAAAATCCGTTATTTAAAAAATATGTACATGACACATTTCTTACAGGCCGCAGTGGATAGTCTGATGCATTTTGATGGTGTATTCCATACTTTGTGACCATAGTTTTAATCTTCCACCCGACGCATTCCGATCAGTTTTGTGCTGCATAACATATGGTTTTGTAGCGAAAGCGGCTACGATAACCCAGATACTGTCTGATGACCTTGACTTCAAATAGTCCAACGAAATATATGATATTGTCCTAATGATTCGAGTGCATTGATGAACATGACCTCGAAAGAAAGCTTGTTGATATATTGACTTTTAAACTATTCTGCGGTATTAGTTTATACATTACTTGTCAATGTCCGAGGCAACGACATGTTGCCACGCTGGTCATACTACAGCTTCAACTGCAACTTTCGACTGGAAGACAATCCATTCAAACTGACTACGGGGCCTTGCACAGAACGAACAGGTGGTTAAATACATATACTGTTCGTCTATCTGTATAGAAATGTATGCAGTTTACATGTGGCCAGTTACAATACATATGCTTCAGAATCAGAGATAGGTAGGTAGACTATATTTTATGTGAGCGTTTGTATCGACTCAGGTGTTTGTGGGAACACTCACATAAAATATTGTCTGAGTTGATACAGATGCTCACATGAAATTTCACATTTCAAAAATTGTGTGTATAAAGCATTTGCATAGTAAACACTTCTTCAGGCAACGACATGCTCTCAATTTTTGCTTCAGATTTATTCATCTCGCCATCTTCGAGGAGCAGATGACCGCTTGCGTCGCCGAGCTAAGGCTTGTTCTGAAACTAATTAACCTATCCCTCTGGTATGCGAACACTGTCGCCTTGTAGAGCCAGCTATGTTGTACATCCGCTATATAATTGGTCGAAAAAGATTTTGCGCGTAATTATACTGTAATCAAACGGATTTATTGCAGAGATCAGATATCACAATTACTAAATCAGTTAAAAACGCAGACATCAAATCTTCTAACAAAGGTCGATATTTTGTATTGCAGGCTATTGCGCCCCCTATCCACTTTTCCTGGTACGAAGACGGCTGCCAGACCACGTCTCTCTCGGTCATACGCACGTCGCCGGCTTTCCTGCTCTACAGCATTGAAGGGTATACTATATTGCACATCGCCAGTTCAAACTACCATGCCACTTCATCCAGAATCACCCGGTGGCTCGCCGCCCGTTTCGGATCATAGCGAGTCCTCCGTGGCCTCTCACAAGAAGTCGCGCTCTGGCAGTATCAACAGCGTCCCGTCCACTGGTAGCTCCAAGCGCAAGATTAAAATGAGTAGTCCCCAGGTGTTGGGTTCTCGTCGTACCAGCATCGGCCTGGCCAATGGTGCTAGTGCCGAAGACTCGTGTTTATTTGTCGACAACCTTATTCGTGTCGTACAAAAGCGACTACGCTCCGAATTGGGCTTTCGTGAAGTGTTTGTTGCCACAGGCAAGGAGGCATCAGCGGATGACACTGATAATGGCCGCTCGCGGTCATTAGTGATTGCTTCTAATTTGAACGAATCGCCTAAAAAGAATGAAGAACCGCAGCCATGGGATGCTATGGCTGCCAGCAAACGTCCACTTTTATACGGTAATGATAACTCCAAAATCAATGGCGTTTTGCCATGTAGTGACTGCTCCAAGGGAACGGTATATGTATCACAAGGCTATGAAAAGAAACAGCGACTACTGGTTATAGTTCCGTACCGTGAAGCCGGTATCTGGAGCCGCAGCATCTGTATGAATCAATTTGATAGCGACAAAGACAGTGGCTCAATGATGTCTTACTTAAAGAAAGCTCTGAGCGAGAATTATGGGGTTGTCATCCTGAACCCAGCCGCTCAAAGTTGCCATCCACGTACGCACGTCGAGCATGCATGGGATCAACTCATCGCGCCGTTGCTATGCGACGTCTTTATCGTTGCATTCTCACGTGGTGCACAGATGGTACTTCATCTTTTAAATCATGACAATGGCCAGGGCGTCGTACAAGACCGTGTCAAGGCGCTAGCTCTTGTTGAGCCATCCCATTACGTTAGTGACAACGACACGTACTTTGCTCGACGAATTCTCGCGCGTCGTGCCGTGTCATGGATTTTGAACTCGGAAATCGACGTTGGGTGCAAGATTCCACAGGGTCCGACACGTCATGGCTGCGTCTGTGTTTCTGCAGGTACTGTACCGTCCAATGTACTAGGTAGCAGTGGTGCTTATGCGCTAGAAATGGTCAAAAGTTCTGTCTTTGGATCATTTGCCGCTCGAAGTGGCGAAGCTGCGGGAATTACGGTCAATGCGACGAAAATCAATGCGTGTGGCATTTGTCATCGCAAGTTATCGATGCTTAATCGACGCATACCGTGCTCGTGGTGCGAAGTCAAGTACTGCAGTCGTTGTTGTGAAGATAAGTTTGTACCAGCGTTTGGAAGCTGGCGCGTTTGTTCCTTGTGTCAATCGCTACCGTGCTTGATCGACCCCCGTCGAAAAAATCGCAGTGCAACGAACCATTCAAGCCCCACGGCAGCAGGTCAAGAACGTTGCAGTGTCTTCATCCGACCGACCGCTGATGATGACGATCCAGTGTGTCTCGGAGACTTTGAGATTGTCAAACTTGTTGGTCGTGGGGCTTGTGGACGCGTGAAATTGGTACGCAAGAAGCACGGGTACGATGAAGGCGTATTTTATGCGATGAAAGCGATCCGAAAGAAATTGATGATTCAAAGAGGGTTGGTGGAAGCAACCAATGCCGAGCGACGAATTCTTGATCGTATTAAACATCCATATGTGGCAACACTTTGCTATGCTTTTCAGACTGAAGCCAAGCTTTATCTACTGTCTAAGTATTATCCAGGTGGCAACCTCTTGGACCAAATGCGTCTGGCGCGGCGGTTCTCAGAGGATCGTACACGATTGTACACTGCTGAAGTAGCCCTTGCCATTCACCACTTGCACCAGAATGATATAATTTATCGCGATCTTAAGTTGGAGAACGTATTGGTGGATTCTGACGGGCACGTCGCACTCACAGATTTTGGCATGTCTAAGGAAAATATGCCCGACAAAGGCCGTACGACAACGTTCGTGGGTACATACCAGATGATGGCCCCTGAAGTGTTTAGTGGAAAATCGTACTCACGCGCCGTGGATTGGTGGGCACTGGGTGTCATGGTGTACGAAATGATTGATGGTCGCACTCCTTTTAATGCCAAGACTAATCGATTGATCAAGGAACGTATTGTTAATGTTGATCTCAAATTTTCACCACGATTTACGGATGATGCTAAAGACTTTGTTTCAAGATTGCTGACCAAGAACGAAGCTAATCGTCTTGGTTCGGGGCCTCATGGTTTCCAACAGATCAAAACTCATCCATGGTTTAAAGGATTGGATTGGGGCAGTGTCGAGCGAAAAGAGGCTTTGTTTGAAGGTCAATACGCTTTAATGGAGAAACACGCAAAAGAATACCGCACGGACGATATCTTTGAGACATACATGAACACAATCGAAGTCCCTGTTGACACGCCTGCGTCAGCTAAGAGCTCAAACGACGAATTGTTCAACGATTTTGCATTTAACTACATGGATGGCCCAGAAGAAGAGCAACGGGATGTGCCTGAGCCAGACGAAGAAGGAGACGGTCAGAACCCGCTGTCGCCTATCTCATCAAACGACAGCACGAGCGATCGAATGTTGAAGTCTCACTCGTTAGGACAACCAAAAGACAGAATGCTGGCCACGTTCTTGTCGACGAACGGTCTGGACTTTGACTTAACGCTGTTACGCCCGGATCAAGCGACGGACTTTGGTGTTTCGGCCTGCTCTTTCATAAGCTTGGATGGCACTGAAGACGAGGCTGCGGAGCCTGCTGAGCGATTGAACGACCTTGTGGAAACGACATCTGATGAGGATGATGCAGAAACGGACGACAAAGAAAAGCCGTTGAGATCATTATCGCAATCCGTGTCGCCTACGAATAGTGATGGCACGGACGTGGACTCGAGACTGGAAAGTACGCGTAAGATGCTGCTTTAAGGACATAACCCCGTAATTCTGAAATTAAGTACACAAAAAATGAGTCATATAATTTTCTGTCACACTACTACATGACAATAGTAGTATTGGCACTTCATGATATTGGCACTACATGAATTATATTATCATATAATTATGGCACAAATCAACTATGGTGATTGTACTATGCGATTGTTGAAGTTGTACCGTTTAGAGGGCCGTCTTGAACGCGCACATGAAATTAAAAGATGCAGCCAATGCGAATGGATGGACAAATTTCCTGCAGTTCTATGAGTCATTTATTAAGCATGAATTGGCTCAGCACTACCCACAATTTGCCCGATCATTGTGTCAATTAGAGCAAGATACGCGTGCTGAACAGGAGCGACAGAACGCGCAGGTTCTCTCAACGCTGAGACTCAAAGATGCAAAAATTTTGAGCCTGCAAAAGATTGTGAATGAGCAACGCGAGCAGCTAGACGTTGTGCTAGATGAATTAGAACGAAGAGAGACGAAGGAGGACAAAGAAGTGCAGATTAGGATCGAAATGCGGAGAGGAGATGCAGCAATACAGACTGAGAGTGTTCAGAGAAAGGTAAAAGATAGTTGTACGCAGACCGGCAAGAATGAAGAGGAATTGAGGATATGCCAGCTCCTGGAGAAGCTTGGAAAAGACTTGAAGTTGGTGGAGGACAGGAATGTTGCTCTGGAGAACGAGCTGCATCAGAGAGCTACCGAAAAGGACGACAAGATGGAAGATAATATGATCTTCAAAGATTGTTTAAAAAAATTACAGTTCGGAATGGATGCAATGAAGGTGTCGTATGATTGCGTGCAGAGTCCGCTCACTCTCTTTGTGGGTCAATCGGAGATTGAATCAGAAAAGTCGACGTGTGTGAATTTGGAACACCGTCTGGAGGTTCAAGGTGTACGACTAGAGCATCTTCAAGCATGTCTGTACGCATGGCGTGATGCTATTGTGCAGTGTATGAAGCAACACATTTTACCTGATAGCGATACAAAACTGGTAAAGATCTCGCCACTTTGTCCAATAAGTGCTAGTCAGGATCAAGGGGACCATCGTCCCACAATTCAATGTTTTTTTGCTCTTCGAGGCGCTCTCGCACAATTACGGCAGCACACATTTCAGCAAAGTCATCAACACGGAGCGAGCGAGCAGCAGAGTGTCGTAAAAGAGTTTGCAAAAGCTCTTTCTAATGAAAAGAATGGCGTTGAAATTGCTGCGAAAATTGTCCAAAAATGGGCTAAGTGGGAAGCAAAACACATGAAAGAAATGCATGCTTTAAGAAGAGGGTTTGCAGAGGAACGCGCTGAGTACCGAAACCGTCGGATTGCGCTGTTAAAACAAATTGACCATTTAGAACAGCGAGAAATGGATCTACAAGCTGAAGTTAACGCGTGGAGAAGGAAGCGGGAGGCCTCTAAAAGCAAATGCGAACAGGAGTTGCCTTTCTTTACCGTGAACAAGCCCGAAAATCTTATTAGTGGCAAAGCGTTGGAGTACCCCCAACTTCTTGCGCGCCTTGCCACAGTCGAGCAGAGTTTGCTTGTAAAAGATGAGCAACTGGCAGCTGCCAATGCGACAATCAAGGCACTTTCGACCTGCACGACTGGCTCTGAAAATTCCGTTTCAATTGACACTGGTGCAATGAACTCAATCACGCAAATTGCTGGAGATTTGCAACGAGTATCAAGACAAAAACTCGATGTGCTGCAGCAACGACAAACAAGGCTCGTTGGTGTAAGTCAATACTTTCAAGCGGAAAGAAAGTGTATTGAATTAGAGTCTCGTCTTGGAGTTGAGACACAGCGAACGGCGATCTTGAAAGCAGCAGGCAAAGTTTGGAACCACGAGCGCGAAGAGCTTCTGCGTAAGGTGGAAAAGTTGGAAACGGAAGCTTTGTTTGCAACCATCCAATGCCCACCCAGAATGTCTTTGGAACAAATGGACAATCACAGTGCTAGTTTTGTTGAACGCGATGATGATTCTAGTGCCTTGTTCAATGCGTTAAAACGCATTCGATTAATTGAAGACAATCGCAAAAGTATGCGGGACCGTTTGCTTCATCTTCAGCAGCAAGTTGCGATATTGCAAGAGCAAAGTCAAAACGGTGAACACGTTGAGGCTTCAAAGAAGCAGACAATCGAGATGAAAGTTGCAAATTATGTCGCCGAACATCACCAACAGTGTATCGACCACTTTAAAAAATTTCTAGATCGACAGCGTGAATCTCAGGACAGCTTATCTGGCTGCAATGGCTATGAACCCGTAAAGCAGACGCAATTTGAGTGGGAAGTATTGTTGACTCATTACGAAACGCTTTGGATCGCTTTTAGCTTCCTTTATTCAATCATTAAAGCTTCGCCGCAATCGCTAGGCACTGCACAAAACGAGCCCCTCATCTGCGCGATTAGAGAAGTCAAAACAGACTTGCGACTTGATTTTTTAGAATTTGAAATCGATAAACGAGATGAAAAACTTTTGTTGCTTCAGCAGCGATTGCTGACTCAGGATTTACAGGAAAAATCCTGTAAACATTGTTTTCATATTCAAACAGGTCACACAAGCCCTCACAATCCATTTTATAGATCAAAATTCGGAAGTGAAATTGCGACCCCGCTAGACTCACGTGATTTCGCTCAAGAGGTGGGAGCTAGTGGCTCAAATTTAGCCCTAATGAAAGTCTCTACGACACATTTTAAACCAGGAAACGATTTACTGGACACTGTGCCGCCTATCGAAGCAATCAATGGGCAGATCTCTGAGTCGAAATCGCTGATAGAAAAACATCAGGTACGCTGCACTGAATACGATGCACGAAATTATTATACTGATCTGAAAAAGTGTTTGACAAAATGCGCTTATCTGATACCGCAAAATTCCAAGCTGAACGAGCAACTACGAATTGAAAAAGAGACAAACAATAGCGAAGAGTATGTGAGGAATAGAGAGGAGCATTTCTCGTTTTCTTCGGAAGAAAAGACTGAAGTGGAAGAAAAATTAGATATGAATATGATTGCAAGTGATATAATGAACCGATGTCAACGGGAATGTGAAGCTTTGAAAGAGCAGTTGGGATTAAGGGAAGCAGATAATCTGGCTCTCAAGCAGTCGCTTTGCAAGATTAAGGAGATATGTGCTCAAAACGAAGTCAATCATGAGAAACAGCTCCGAGTCAAAGTTGCTGAATATGCTGAAAGCATGAAAAACTACATTTTTACAATCAGTGAGACCTTATCTCGCATTGATAATGATAAATGTCGGCTTCTCGAGGAGAATAGCGAATTGCGCTTCAAATTGCATTTGAAGATGGTAAATGAAAATAGTAGAATACAGAAGATGCAAATCGAGTCCCAACAATGCACTCAAAGTACAAATACTGAAGAAGTTTTGGATCTAGCTACTGTTGTTGATGAAAACACAGCTTTGAAGGCGCGTGTCGAAGATCTGGAGCTCGAATTGCATCGTGAACGGAAAATCGTGGAAATGCCAGGACAGAGAAATTTAATCGAGGAACAAAAAGATAATCATGCTTTGAAATCTCCAGTCGACTTTGAGTCGCGTTGCGAGGCATTAGAAGAATGGCGAAATAAGCTACAGCTCGAATTTGAAGAATACAAATCTGTACAATGTGCTTGTGCGCATGAAAGCTCAAAACGCATTGACTTTCTCTCAGCTTGTATCCACGAGTTTATATGTGTTGCCGAAGCGATTACTTTAAAGGATGAGAGGTCAATCACTACCAATGAGTTGTACTGTATTGTCATGAGGCTTGCAAAAGATCAAACAACAATTGGTGAGAACACAAAAGAGCCTAAAGATCTGGCGCCAAAATTGGATGATCATTCGAATGTGGCAGTTCTAAGTAAGAATTTTCGGAGCAACGGTCAGGGAAAGCTAAATAGCAAGGCTGAATATCTTGAAGTGAGCGAAGCAATGTGGTGGAGGTTACGGGCATCAAAGTTAGAGGCGCATCTACGCTCTATGATGCTGCAGAACGACACGTTTGAGGATACTATGCGGCAGCTTGAAAAGAGTATGGGCGACGCCAACAGAGAACTGTCATTACGTCTACAACGTGAGGCTCAATTGGTGTCGCAGTTGGCAGCGCTAAACTCTGAGCTTGCAACTGTTAAGGATAGCGCGGCTTCGATAGCAGAGAAGTATCGATTTGTTCACCAAGAGCTTGAAAAGCAACAAGCCGAATTTTTGGGACGCTCAGATGATTTACAACGATCTCGTTTGGCTTTACAGCGAAAGGCAGAGTTGTTGGCTCAACAAAAAGAGAAAAACTTGTTGCTTCAACAGGAATTTGACCTAGTGGGTGAAAAATTGGAACGGTTGGCAATAGCTGAGAAACAAATAACCTTGTTGCAACAGAAGGCAAAAGAACACAAGAACCAGCTAATCCTCGCTCGGCAGAATTCTGAGCAATGTCTCACTGACAATGTCCGATTATCAATTCATCTTAAAAAGTTGAACGAGCGCAATGCTCGTATGGTGGCGCGATTTAATGCTACTCGTGTGGAGAACGCACATTTAAAAGCACAATGTGCAAAACGTGATAGCGATGAAATAACGATGGACGAAAATAGTGATAACAAGAGCTGCAATAAGCGGGTTGATGAGGATAGCGAGATTCGGGCATTGAAACGACGATTGTTGCAGAAACAAGATGTGATTGGGAGCTATAAGGCAAAGCTGGCAGATTTTGAGTTGCAGCTGCAACGTCAGCGAGAGATGATGATGAAGCTCGGACGTACCAACCGTACGCTACAACTAAAAAAACGGCAAAATCAAGAGGCAGAGCACGAAAACATAGATGTAAATATTTTGAAGCTAGATGCAAAACTCAAAGCAAAGCAAAACCAACTCGATGGTTTACGGGCATCCATTTACGACTCATTCGAAGCACTTGTCTCCAAATATTCGACAAGGAGAATTGAATCAAAATCTCAACTATTAGATAGCTCGTTGATGGACGAAAGTCGAGATGAGAACGAAAAACTGTTCGCTTTGAAGAGTTGGACAAATCTCACCTGTTACGATCTGAGAGAATTAAAGTTGATTAAACGACCGCAATCTGATGAAGCGAATGAATCGAAGTTTAGAAATCTTCAAGCTGCACTCTGGAAATTGGAGAATGCATTGGAGGCAAATCCCGAAGACTGCCGCACTGAACTATGCCAACTTCTTCAGTATTTCTGCATTTGACGACCTGATTCTTTTAGCTCGAGAACGAGCTCAAGTTTTACTTGTACACAGTAGATTCGCAAACAATCACGAATCTTGAAGTTCATTCCGTGTCATCCAGGGTAAGACTGAACTTTTGAGCGATCATTTCTATAGTACAAGGATTGAATTCAAGTATCCGTCCGGCCGTTATACATACAACTACCAAGATTTCGCCGGCGCAACATTATTAGAGTACTGTGTAGCCCGTGCTTATGGCAGAATTAGGGCTTCAAACATGAAGTCACCTCATGCAAAAGAACTAATGAATTATTCTCACCTTCTGATATCAGCGTTTGCGATGCTCTGCTCATCATGAATGGAAGCAGCGCGATTACACTGACCTTAAAAATAGTACGTTCTAGCGTGAACTTAATACGGTATTGTATCAGTTGAGTCAAGTAATCAGTGCTTATCTTCGACTGTGACATCCTCAACGCGTCCAGGCATTGATTTTACTAAGTTTTGATGCCAAGGCATGTCCACTTTAGGTCCTTCGTGCTTTTGAATGTGTGTAGACTTGGGTTGTCGTGCTAGAGAATTTAGATTCCAAAGTGATAAAATCTTCGAAAAATCAAAGTAGCTACAACTTGCTTTCTGGCAGAAAAGTGAGGTTTGGCATCTGTCAGGAGAGTCAAATTGGATTGTCATGGCAGAGCCTCCGCCATAATTAGTAAATTAGGTTTTCTTCTCGCAGAGTTGGTCATTACAGTACTACTCTAGGCCGATCGAGCAGTCAAAATTATCAGACGACACGTCCCAATCAATTCGCGACCTAATTAGCCCAGTCTTTGCGTGCCAGCGTGCGCTTCGCCGTGATGATTTCGCGCTTGCACTTATACGTAGCTCAGGTGTGAAGTCTGTTGAAAATCTTCGAAATCGTAGGCTTCAACAATATCTTAACGGAGTTGGATGACTCCATCTTCGAGAAATATGTACAGCTTGGTCCTCTCGCTTGCTTTCTTGCACAATCCTGATGTCTCGACCGCTCGATAAGTGTCTCAGATGGATCAGCAAGTGAAGTGAACGTCTGGACAGCACTATGAAGTTTTGATATCTTACTTCCTTCTACACGTGTGGGCTTGAAGCCCTTTGTCATGATAGCAGTGCCACCAGGTTAATTCCTAAAATTTAACTTTCTTCTACACATCGGTGACTTGTCTAACTAACGGTTTTGATTCTGATTCACTTGGCATAGAATTGATGCAAAAGTTCGAGAAATAATGATGACTTCATATTTCTGTCTGCACTACAAAGGAAGCATCAAGTCGTTTGGAGGGCATCTGCTGGCAACAACCACACGTAAACAGACCGAAATCATGTCTATATGTGACAGAATTAAGCGTGACTCAAAAGGGTAGTTAAATACAATGTGGAAAAGTGGCATTGCATTAGCGTTAGCCTTTGTAACGAGGACGCAAAAACTATGTTCAAGAGAACGGAGCTGTTTGTGTTCGGGGTTGGGCCCTGCTGACCCCGCAACAAACCAGAAGACAGGTAAGAAGCGGGACGTCGGCTCGATGAACCTTGACGCGCCTTGTGCATAGGACAACCAATCCAAGGTGACGGGTGTCTCTACAGACGAAACACCGTCGGGTGCCCGAACGCTGCTCGGAAGCTCGGAGCTCTACCTCCTCATCTTCAGCATAGCTGAGATTTGTCGGCTCAGGCTCGCTCGACGAGTTGCTAGAGTGTGCATTCCAACCAAGTCGTGCCGACTAAAAAATAAATTCGGCATTAAATGCCACATTCACTGCTTCTTCGAAAGACGACGGATGCACACGGAAGACTTTTTGAAATCACTATCCCACGTACAGACATATCATTTAAGGTAATGACCCTCCCACTTCGTCCGGCAGCACTAGCGGATCTGAATGTGTATGCAAGCCGGACTTGCTGTTCGTGGAAGCGATCGTCAAGGGCTTTGAGAAGCCATGGAAGATTTTCGGGGCGTCGGGCAACTATGCTTGACGCTCCAACATGAAAAAAGTCAGCTGTATGCTGATGCTCTGATGGCGCAGTTGAGTGACATCACCACTGCTCGCTCAGCGACGGGGGCGTGTATTACGTCCCTGTGGACCTCGGCGTCTAAGTTTCTTGACTTTGATAGCTTGGAACGCTGCATAGTCGTAGACTTGGATTCAAGGTATGACCTTAATCTTTGTTTGGCATGGCTGGAACACCAGGGGTCATGATGCGACTGGAGGTCCAAGACCTTGGGCGCTACGCGCACGCATCCTGGTGGAGCTTTGGTGAGCCATAAACACAATTCTCTCAGGAAGCAGACACCGGACCGGGACGGTCAACGTGCTGGAGAGTTAAGCATCCGAGTTGGTGAACACCAAAGGTGTATCGGACAGGAGCCCCGAGCATGGCTTGCGGAATGAACGTGGAGTGGAACGTAACCCACTGAGCACTGCTCAAGTGTCGAAGAGGTTGCCGCATGTCACGAGTGGCATGGTCGGACGAGGTCCGAGGCATTCAGGGCGAGTCCCCAGTGATGCACGTGGAGTGACACGTAATCCACCGAGCGCTGCTCACGTCTCAGAGTAGTCGCTGCATGACGCTCGTGGCATGCATCTTGGGCAAGGTCCTTCAGATGTGCGTGGAGCTGCACGTTATCCACTATGGAGCTAGCAGCTCTTCGTGGGATGTTGTTAATACCATCAGTGCTCTGGTGGAGCAGGAAGTGAGGCAAACACTGAACGACGCTGAGTGCGTGTTCACACTGGTCTCGTTGAGACGTACAACCTCTGTGAAGAGGCGACAGCAACGACGTATGCTAGCTGCACGACGCCGGGCGTAGACCCTGACCCAAAGTGTTTCTACCGTAGACGATAGCGCACAGCTATACAGCCTCATCAACAATATGACTGGATAGGAAGAGAACAACGTCATCCTCAAGGCTATTCCTGTGGTGAATACTCTTCTTGAGCTGGACGAGATGTCCTTCGAAGAGTTCGGCGGTGCCACCTTGATTTTCACGGGACGTTCCGTGTGTACCGACGATGTTACCACCACTTGTAATGTAAGTGTAGATCTGGCGTCGGTAAGTTCTGGGAAAAATCCTTGTAATTCTTGCTAATACGCACCAAAATTTGCTTAGCGTTGAATTGCCACTTCTTGGCCCAGTTGGCGCAGATCGAGGGCCGCGTCGCCGGGGTTGTTGCCCTCCGTGCTCAGAACCAGTTGCAGCTTCTGGGTGGCCAAGGGTCCTTAGGAAGCGCTGCGGCGCCAACGCTTCTGCATTCACTTGTGCCGGATCGCGGTACGGCTTGAGCAAGCCCACGTAAAACACCGGGTGGGTGCGTATATGTTTCGGAAGGTTCTGCGTGTACATTAGGCCCCGTTTGGCCACAACCTTAAACGGTCCGATGAACCGTAGACGACGAAGCTTCGTCCTGAAGATAGCAGAGGCTGCATATGTAGGCAAATTTTTAGAATTTATTAAGACCAGGTCCCCGACCTGAGAACTTTTCACTTTTGCTCTTCTTTTTTCGTCTGCATATTGTCTGCAGGTCTTGGCTTTCAGCCATCGCATCGCGAACGTGTCGTAGGACACTCAGTCTGGCAGACAAGAAGTCATCGACTTCTTTGCAGATGGTGAGGGGCTGACATCAGCAAGCCGTTCGGCTATTCCTCCCCCACAAGGCCCTGAGCCATGGGATGGCGGCGTCATTGGGACGCGAGGGTGATTCAGCCCGTTCGCGAAGAACGGCGTGTAGCCGGTAAATGAATGCACTGCATTGTTCAGTGCAAAATCTACGAGTGGTAACCTGGCGCTCCAGCGCCTCGGCGTCTCAGCGCAGACGCCACGAAGAACGTATTCGATGGCGCGATTCGCCCTTTCGGTTTGACCATCGGTCTGCGGATGACCCGCTGTT